GGGATGGGGTGTGTGTGGTTGTGTGGGGGGTTGTTAGGACCAAGGTTTGAATTGAGTTTAGGTTAGTTTTTAGGCTTAGGTAGGTACCTGTGAGGTTAATTTTAGGATAAATGGTCAGGGTTAGGCTATGAAATGACCAGAAAATGAAAGAAAGTCAATCCACAGTCCCCATGGGGCTATAAAAACCAACCTCTGTGTGTTATAAAAAATATTTCCATCAAAAAAAATTTTTTTCACTTTAACTCGTGAATAAATGTGTTGAAATATATGTATCACAGAGCAACACAAGGCATGTTTTAGCATGATTATGAGATAGGCCTCCTTCAAACTGAAAATAGACTCTGATATGAAAAAAAAAAGAAAAAGCCAGTATGTGGACAATCTTTGCAAGGTCTTTGTGTAGTTTCTGGGGTTGTTTAAGAACCCAAATATTTACATGTGCCAAAGGCCAGAGTGTGGTAGATCCAAAATGGTTTTGACCATGCACACGGTGGTCATGATTAGGGATGGGAACCGGAACCAGTATTTTTTTCTGCACTGGTTCCATGTGATTAATTTTGACTGGATTGAGAAGCTCCAGCTTTAACTGTATCTTTAATGTTACTGGTGTGTGGGATTCCTGAGATTACCTGTCTGACATTCAAATGTTGGTGAGTGAAATCTGTTCATGTGTGGTGTGTTGTCTCTATCGTGGGGCTTTACACGACACAATGTAGGATCGAACTTGTTATATCCTTGGTCATGTGTGGGTTGTAGTTTTTGGAAATCAACATACAGAGCACACACTAAGGGCACAGCAGAGCATGAAGCTAAAAGGCTTCTCAGGCAATGGTCAAATTGGCTTTAAGAAGATGGAAACTTGTTTCTGTATTAAAATAACAGACCTTGGCTGCATGGGGAGAAGGTGTAAAGCTTTATGAAAACAATAAGGTACAAAAAAGTCTCAGAAGTGTAACATGAATAAAGATAATTGGGGTTTTCAGTACTAACAAGGCCAAGTGACCACCACCCAGGATAATCCACCTCTTATTAAGCCTTCAGTGAGTTTTCTCCCCAACCTCTTTGGTCTCTCCTGCTTCCTCTTTTAGCCCTCACTGAGGCGCTCCATGGGGCACTTTAAGACATCTTCCATTAAAATCCTACTTTAAGTTGCCACCTAAACCARCTCTACTGAAAACAAAATGTGCACTGCATCATTCAGATTGATACTTTACTTAGTCTGAGCTAACACATTTATTGAAACATGTTTACTACTTTATAGCTAAAACCTTGTTTTGAAGTCTTTCAAGCTTTCAATATTTTTTTTGGAAGCAGTATTTTCTCCATTGACTGTATACAGTATATGTAGACCTTAACAGGAACTCAGAAGTTGAAGCTGGAACAGAACCAACTTCCCTACAGGCTGCTGGTACAAGTTTCAAGACTCTTGCTGGCTTCGATTCAAACAACATGATCAGCCTACATCCGATGAATATTTCCACAGCATTTCTTTAAGGCTTTGATTGCTAAAGCTGAAAAMCATATTTCCCTCTCATCTGCCTTTGTTTCACCATGTTTTTTCTTCCCTGTTGAGTCATTATGCACAGATAATGAGTTGGCTATTATAATTGTTTGCAAGAGAATGAACAATGTGTAAAGCTCAGAAAATATAAAATCATGAATAAACTATAGTGCAAACACATCGTTGAGCTAAAGTAGCTTTAGTAAATCCTACTGAGCTGTCTATATACCTTCACAAGTGCCACCGGGACATTTCATGTTTCTAACAAAATGTTCAAAAATATTCAGATGCAGAACTTTGTTAGTGTTCTCATTTAACTCTGGTGCTGCTGCAACATCTCGAACATGACTCTTTCAAAGACGGCCCCTCAGCTGCTCTTCCACTCTTGCTGTGAGCCATCTGAACTCTGTTGGTGCCTGGTGCTCAGATACCAGTGATAACTGGGACACAGCAGCATCCGGGTGTCAGACCACTGGGGGACAGCTACACAACAGATGGATCTCAGTGTGGTGCTAAAGTTGCATCCTCTTTTCTTCACCCAGTGAAACCTTCTCGGTGCTCCACAGCAACTGCTTTGTGTGGGCAATATGTGTGTGTGTGTGTGTGTGTGTGTGTGTGTGTGTGTGTGTGTGTGTGTGTGTGTGTGTGTGTGTGTGTGTGTG